CGTTTGATTTTCCATTACGCACACCTGCAGCGCAACTTGTGCTTGATGGCTAGAAGTGAAGCAAAGCTGCTAGTGAAAGACAGGCTATCTTAAAGACAGAAACGCCAAGGAACCCTAAGCCCCAAATAGTAGCTTCCCTTTCATTTTCCGTTTGATTTTCCATTACGCACACCCTCCTAATGAGAATGAGTTATAGGATGTTGGGGTCAATTTTAGGCCCCCAAGTTCTGGAAACGTCATATTCTGTATAGACAACACTATACCCAAAAGGGGGATATAATTATACTCTACAATGGCTACCCACCTCAAAATCCTACCCGCCTGGATTTCCAGGATGAGCTCGTGGATCATCGGCGGCGCTGACATCATGGCTCCGGGCCTCAGTTATGCCACTACTTACTGGTTGTTAGTAGGGAGTAAAGGGGAAGTAGGGATACTGGAATAAAAGAAAAATGGAGGCTGAGGCATTATAATAGGGCATATTTTGGGGGTTATGGTAGGGGATAAGGGAATAGAAGGAATACTGGAATGGAACATGGAAGCTGAGACATTTTAATGGTGCATACATAGGAGTTATGGTAGGGAGTAAGGGAATATAGGGATAATGGAAAAGAACATGGAAACTGAGACTATAATAGGGTATATGTCGCGGTTATAGTAGGGAATATCGGGGTGATAGTAGGGAATAAGGGAATCTACTATATGGGGACTATATAGGGATTATATTCCCTTATTCCCTACTAAGAACCAATAAGACTAGCTCTTGGATGATCCTGTATCACAAAACCTCTTGTATTTGTCAAGTCTTATCATTGGGGAAAATTCCGGATGCTGATTGTTGTATGAGGTAGACGGCACCTTTCCTGCTACTCCAGCCTTGCACTCCTCATTATGATCGGATTTTGGATTGGGCTCGTCCAATTTGCAGCGGGTCAGGATCTAGAAAGCACCTTGCCATAAGCAGCTGAGCCGCAGGCTTTGCAGTGCCAGAATGCAGCATACTGTAAACATGAACCTGCATCTGGCTGCTTTTACTTCTACTCGCAGCAGCAGTAGCAGCAGCAGCAGCAGCAGCGTGGCACTAGCTGCGGAGCTCACGGCAGCAGTGTCAGTAAACCTTCCTTTCAGGGGGTGCGCAGAAAGAAGCACTTAACGTGACTTTTCCAATAACGCCGCCGGAATGCCTCATGTGTTGCCTGAATGACATCAAGTATTGTAAAACTTCAGCCTGGACACCCATACACCACACCTGCACTAGATGCACCTGCCTGGCGCAAGCTCGCCACGGCAAGCCGCCGGGTACCAGTGGCCCAAGGCGGTGACTTAGCAGTCTGCAAGAAATAGCCCCGGCTAATCTGTGGACGGGTTCTTTCTCAAATCTCAATTTCTTGTCAACGTGTCACGTCACATGCAACGGAGCATCGGTGGCACTCTGGATCATTTGGAATACAGCCCTTGGTCTGGTGCAAAAGCAATAAAGCGTGGCTCAGCCAGCGTGATCTCTGCCTGACAATGGTTCAAGCCATGGCACATGGGAGTAAGCCGTAAGCAAGTCTTAACATATCTGAACCCCTTTCTACATGCACCATGCTCCTCCAAATCCCAACCGACAATTCTGGCTTCTCATGGGTCGCTGTGACAGCACTGCAGCAAGGACTTCCTTGCCTCTGCTTGGCTAAATTCTGGAGCATCCGGAGACAGACCGCGACTCTGGCCATCCTACCAGAAACTGCAAGCTGATTTTGCTGCAACCTTCCGCTCCACCATCACCTCCGCCTATGAAGTGCGTGTCGAATCGCAATCAGCAAAGACCACGTGCACTGCAAAAAACAGATCCTACTTGTACATCTTGTAGCAGCCAAGGTCACGTGCCTTCTCACGAATGCTGCAGCACATGCTGCGGCTGATCGGAGCACCCATCTCCTCTTGCGCCCCAAATTCTATGTCAAACAGCGAAACAGCACTCCAGTGGCTATTAGTTTGCAGTGGACAGCACGTGGTATCGCGTGTCGTCTGCAGTGGTCGTGGTACTTCTGAGAACTACGAACAGGCCGCAACGAGAGCTAGGTCCTTTGCAGGCAATGCTCCCGGTTGGGGATGATGGTGCTGCAACGATAGCCAGCAAGCTTTGCTCTAAATTAAGTTCGAAGCTTCATCCAGGTTACATGCAGTTGTGAGTGCCGCAGCCGGCTAGCAGCTAGTGCTTGCTATGGTATTTGCTGGCTGGTGAGAAAGGTAATAGGGCCAGCCCCTGCATCTTCATCGCGTTGCGTGCTACAGTAACTCAGCTGTTTTGGGGTCCTACAAGCTGAAATAGCTGTGCAAAACCATGCTCCTGTGAAAGCTCAACAACATGTCCATTCTAACCGCTAAAGCCATGATTGCTGCCACGTGCACAACTCCAGCATTCCGCCTGAGAACCTGCTTTTTGGCATGCACCTGATGCCCTGCCAATTTAGCTGTCTTTTTCTCTAAGGAGTTCGTAGCCCGGCCTTAGAATAGAGTTGCTGAAGCACCGTCATCAACCACCAAGACTATACACTGCCCGCAGGTCTAACGGACTCCTGGAAACTTGATTGGAACAGCCGCGTGCTACGAAGACTCTCAAACAACCTGGCCTCCAATCCTGGTAACTTTGCAGGTGCAGCCCAGTGTGTTGGTGGACCCGCAAGGACATCCCGTGGCGCTGTGCATAAGAAAAGGGTCAAGACTTAAGTTTTGGCAAATATTCCAATCACCGCCAGTGTATTCCTTGTCAAGTGTGGATCCCTTTGCCCTCTAGGGTGAGATGCAGGCACATGCGCCGCCAAATCTTACATCTCTAGCCAGTCTTTAACTCTCGCCTGGCAGCGATCAAAGGATCAAAGTGATGGCAAACATGACAGCTCCCTCAAGCAAAATATCTGTTCTGCAGAAGGCGGACAGTCATCTTTATCTGCCAGCGAATGGCGCACCGCCCGGACCGGAGCGTCTTTGACTAGTACTACAGGTGACAAGAGCAAGCATCGGGCCCAAAATCAGATGCCTCGTCAAGCTTCAGAACTCGTGTTTGCGACATCCGCCTCTTGGGTTCGCTGCTTGAATTTCAGGAAGAGTGGCGGAAACTGGTCTTGTGAACGCCCTGGCATTCGCACTTGGGTGGTCAGTGGCCAGCTGAGCCAGGTGCTGAAAATAGTGACCTTGAGTGGCTGTCATACAAAAAGCGTTCTTTCGCATGAAGCTGCACGGTAAGAACGTACAAGCAGCTGTATCAGCAGCCTACGCCTGCGGACAGGCTTCTTCTCCAAGATGTCTGTCACATCCGCAGAATGACATGCTTTCATCTTACTTGCAATTATTGATCTAACTATTTCGCTTTACTGTTACCTACCGTCGGCTTTGGAAGTGGAGCTGCCTTCCAAACCCATGAGCACCCACAGACGATGTTGTACTTGTAGATGCCTCGAACGCTGGCTATTCGAAACACATAGGTCCTTTGCGAACGCATCGACCTTTTTCAATTACCCTCGATACAACGCAACTTGCTTCTAAAGTTAGACGTAGGAGTCCCAATCCTTGTGGAGTTTGTGAAAATCTGGGAACCCCATGTATGGGGCCCCGGCGAAGAATATCTGCAGATTGTGAGGAGATTGCCAGGGCTTCCCAGAGGGTTATGGAAGGATTCTTTTGAGAAAGCTCCTGTCAAAAGCTACAGTAGCGCGACATTCACTGACCACGGCTGCGCAAAAACCGATCGTTCAGCCAAGCCAGACACAGCATTGCTGGAAAGAGCGCTCGTGACCCCCTCCCTTCAAGGGCAATTTCCAAAAGACAAGGCATAGCTGTATACCTTCAACATGCTTCAACACGGAAAACCTACTTCCAAGCAATCATTTAGAGGGTCCATAATTTTGGAATCTGCCAAGTGGAGCCAAACGCCCTCATTCACCATTTGCCCGATTGGTGTCGTCGTTCTCCTCGTCAGATGAGTCTGCCTGCGCTGGGTCCCTACACTTCACGAAAAACCTTGCCGACATTACGCTTGCGTTGCATCAACCTCAAACGGAGGGTCCTTGCTTCAACGACTTAAATTGGATTGAACATTAGAATGCTACGTGACAGTCCAGGGCATTTTAAGCTAAGCTTTCCTTTTGCGGTTTCCAGGCCTCTTGGGCCCTCGCCAAAGCCTGCTGGGCTGGGAAAACCGCCTGGGGAGCCTCACCCACCAGGAAGCCTGACAGAGCCGGCTTTTGGAGGGTTCGAAGCACTACGAATGGTCCAAAAATGCAGGGTTTGCCGGGAGGAATGCCACCCAACATCCTTCCTGCTGCTTGCTATAAGTTTCCGCATGCTTTGCAACAGCATCCAGACAGTTCTGAGGTCATTCAATAGGGGAAGCTGCAGCAGGAGAATGGAGTTGCAGAAGAGGCTCCGTTCTGGTGAGGCAATTGAAATTCTATTGACCGCGTTGCGCATTTTGAGGAAGTGTTGGTCGTCTTGCATGCAACCAGCGGCATGATTTGAGCGTGAACCCGACTGAAGGTAAGATGCGTGCCATTGGCACTCAGGCCATCTGCGATGAACGGCCAGAAGTCGCCTTCAGCGAGTCTGATGCTTTCATGTAACTTGGCTAATCCATTTCGAGCCAGCAGGATCTAGTAGTTTTAAAAAAAAGGGTCAGAAATACAAACCATCCCAGTTTACGCAAGTCAGATCAAGCATCGCACATGGGCGTAAAGAGCACCACTACAAATTCAGCAGCAACATGTGTCCCATCTTGAGCGAGCCAAAAGGTTCAGTTGGCTCAGGTTGCGCCGTCGTAGACTTTCCCTGGTATCTTCCCTACCATACTATCTTCACCAGCACCGAGGGCAGAGCTAATGGAGATCTTCACGCTATGTGCACAGCGGATGGGGAGGTGTATGCACCGGCCCCACATGTATGGCCTTATAGTCATGGCTAGTCATCTTTGCGTAGAGATGTAAGCACCAGGGGTTGCAAGTGCGTCGAGTCTTGTTGCTCAGCCCAGGGCACATAGAAGAGCCATCCCACCACGCTGAGGGCCAGCAGCACCTGCATCTTCCAGGGAATATCATCGTTGGAATGTCTGATCCTGGATGCCACATGCTGCTGCTTCGTTCTGATCCGGTCCCGTGCTTAAATGGTGCCAAGCCAACACCCATGACCCAACACATCCTGACGTCGAATGCGTTTGTTAAGGTAAGAAGCCTTCAGAAATACATGCATTACAAAGGGCGCGCAACCGGGAACTTCTCACCAGCTGATATTACTGCAACAGTCATGCTACGGCGTCGCATGCTCAACCGCCTTCAGCGCTTTGCCGTGCATGAAGTTTGCCCATTGCGTGTTCCTGGAAGTTCAAGATGCTTCAACAAAATGGTTGGGCCACCAAAACGTGACTCCGGGAAGCTGAGTGCCATACTTGTACACACACATGTCTTCCTGCTCGGTGCGGTCAATGTTGATGACTCCTGTTGGGAAGCGGAAACATGAAGCCCAAAGTCTCCCAGGCTCTATGTTTTGGAGAGTATGTGACTCCACGCGCTGTCCTTGAAAGCCACTCTGACGAATCTGATGCTTGATATTCATAGCCTTGTCAATCAAAACTTGAAGGCAACTACCTGCCAGGTGGTGCGAATTGCTGTGTTTCCACTGAGTGCGAAGCAAGCTCTTCCCAGCATGACCAGTCAATCGACTTCCGCCTTGCGCATCGTGCGTCCAATCGTTCGTTTTCAGCATATTCTATATGCCCTCAACCTCCCTTCCCCTCCCCTTCGAACAGAGGCGGGGCCGGGTCAGCGTTTACAATTTGTCTTTACCAACTCACTCGCAATTCTTTGCAACGGGCCCAACCCTGTCCCTTTGCAAGAATGTGTCACAAACTGTTCTTTCTGCAGAGCCGAGGGGAAGGCATTTCAACGATTGCCATGTCCTGTCACGTGGCAGCAGCTGTGGCATGAGGTGCTCGGAGACACTTGAAGCCAAAGAAGCTCCCAAGCGAGGTTTGAAACGCTAGCGCTGCTAGCGTTCTGATCTTACCGACATACTGGATATGTGTCCGACCTACGCAGGAGCAATCCATTGCTGGTTTGGGCTCTTTGGCTCAAGAACATGCCAAGTTGACGTTGGCATCTTCCGCCAGAAACTTCCGAAGCTTCACCAAGTCCTGCACAAAATCAGACTCACAGCTTTTGGCCACCAAGGGCTAAGCCGCTAAGCTTTGCTCAACTTGGACTCAAACTTAGTGATGCAGTGGTTCAAGAGGCTGATCCAGACAGGGTGCTTGCCATAATGGCCATGGGCATTCTTAAGCCCCTCGTCAAGTCGCATGTTCGCTTTGTCGCACCGTCTTCTGGCATCCGTTCCGTTAAACAATTCAGCCGCTCCTCCGCCGGCACGCCAGCCTGCAAGCTTGCGTCTGGCTTGCTCAAAGGTGCGAAGATGCTCCTTCTTGCGTGAAGAAACACACAGCCTCTGGTGCGTCCTCATCATCCGTGTCCTGGGTCAAGCGTGGATGTGACTGAGCCCCCCAGCCGCCCTAGCCTGTACTATTATACTGCAGTTGACTGCGTGCCCGGACACAGCATGGCTGCAGTGGGGCTTTGGCTCTGGTGAAATAGGAGTCCCCCATATATATACATATATATATATATACCCCTCCAAAAGAACCCTAGTGTTTGAAACTCCCATGTCAACCCAACTGCAAATCTTTCCTCCGGCTCCCGCAGGCTGGCGCGTGCCACCCATGGCCTGAACCGACAGCATGAGCCAAACGCACAACAGGCCCTTTCGCTCTGGCCTTTTTTCATTCGAGTCATGACGAGTGGGTTTTTTGTGATGAGTGTGGATAAAAGTTTGGACAGGCGAAGGCTCGCTTCGGCTGTCAGATGACACTCTTCCGAAAATTGATGCTTGCGTCTGCCGTCCAATCTCATAACAACAGCTCGGCGGAATTTGTCCGCCTTGCCCCCAAAAGCAGGCTTGCTTATCCAGAACTTCCATTGGTAGGTGGCCTGTATGTGAAACGGTATTCGTCATATTCGGATGAGTGAATGATGCTGAGATAGGGTTGAGAGGGAGAGATGCAGCGTTGGGCTGATGCAACTCTCCCCTTTATCATTTCGATTGGAAAGCAACAGGATGATCCCCCGCGTTGGCTGCGTCGTAATTCAGCTGATTGTATTTCATGACTCCGGTAATCGTCAGCCACGTCTGTCACGGCTAGTCAAGTTTCGTGGCACCCTGCATTCTTGCAGTCAAGCTGAAAAGATTCTTCTTGACCTATAGAAGACCTTGGTCACCAACTTCAAGGATTCCCCTCAAAAAGGAAGCTAAATAACCTAATATGGGGACCTTGGACCCGCCCAACTCATCACAGACTGCATCGCTAAGCTGCAGGCGTCAAATCCAGTGCGAAGGAAAAGGAGACGGCGTAAAGGCCATCTGCAGGCTTTTGAAGTTTTCGGACTGTGATGGATCCCCACTGCCAAATTTCACATCCAGAGGGTTGAAAAAAGGAACAAGGTACAAGAAATGCGCCAGGGCATTGCGAATTTCATCATCTAAAAGGCAGCCCTCACGGCGCCTCGCCAGAAAAAGGAGCCTGGAAAGTTGTTGGTTACCGGCAGGTATCCGGTGACCTCACGCGCTTGCAGGCTGATGCACGCAAGTCCTGGAGCCCAAGCAGCAGCACTTGTTGCAGTTCATGCGCTGCACTGAGCATGCTGAATGCAAGCTCTTAGCTATCTAAACGTGCGCAAAAGGCAGTCTTCCTGAGTCACGTCACGCATTTCCCATGAGGGCCCCGCGCGCAGGTGGACCTGCTTGGGCTGCTGATTGAAGGCCTGCAGATACACGGGTGGAAAGTTTGTTACAATGTTTTGCGAGTCCTGCTTGCACACGGCAGAAATCTGCAACAGCACCCTTTCCATTTTGCGTCGTGGTTGTTGTTATTGTTGTTGGTAAAACCATGCGCCACAATGCTCTCAATGTTGCGAGTGGTTTACCTATGAAGCGGGAAATGGGAGCGGCGAAGCGTGACAGGTCCATCTGCAGAGGAGCGTAAAGCAAGGCCTCTAGAAACGCTGTCTCCTCTGCTTGATCCACCTTGGCCATGATGGAAGTTCGGGGTAAGACATTGGTGGTAACTTTCACTGGCACTGGTGATGCAAGTAACCCGATGTGTCTGAAGTTTGACTTCAACCCATCCACAAAGTACTCACTTGTTATGTGTACACAGGAAATTGCTGCAATTCCTGGGACCAGCGCAGTACTAATGTACATCCGCGGGTCCGCGTAAAACTTCACCCGAGATCTGTTTGCGGCCTGCTGCAGTCGTTGGTGGCAGGAATTTCCTGCAAACCGCCCCCTGCAGGATCTTTTTTCTCTAATTGCTTGTGTTTACGATGACCGATCAGATGCAACATGTGATGTGCGTGCAAGAAACTTCGAAGAGCGCAGGCCAAATGGAAGCATTACATATTAAGGTGAGATCTTTGGACAAGCCTACACCCAAAACAAGAAGTCCTTTTTTTGGCTTGTGTTAACATACTCGTGCATCGTCAAAGACCTGTAGCAATGCCCGACCGCCAGTTGCGCCTGTCTGTGCGCCAGGCATGCGCTGAAGGACAAAGTAGCAAAGTAGACGAACCTCAGCCCATCTTCTAGGTTGACCGCTCTGGCAGGTTCATCTGTGGCAGGCGACAAGCAAGAAGTTGAGACAATTGGTCAGACTGTGTTACTTGAGGGGGAAGCAGCCACTTGAGATCTTGAGGTTTAGACTCTGCTTAGCGGCATGAATACCCGTGAGAGCCATCCCGAAGCGGACAATGCTGCGGGGGAAGCCTTCACACGTAAAGCTGGGTATCCCGGCAAGAGCAGGCACATGACAACCAGGTCTTGCATCTTCATCCGCCGGATCAAATCCTTGTGTTCAGGTGAAGGATCGGCCAGTGTAAGCGGTAAGCGTCAATTTGTGCAAGTGCCGCCTTCATCAAGATCTGTTGCAGGCGCTGAGGTTTCGGCCCTGTCAAAGTTGATGCTGCCTGTGTTGCCAACGGATGCCCCAATGCCCCCGGCGACTGCCAGCAGCATCCTTTGAGAAGTGTTGTCTGTGATGAGATGTTTGCCACTGGGTGGGGCTTTTGATTTTGAAATGCAAATTGCTCGCGCTTTGTCGAGGGTACCAGTGCGACAAATGACTTGGCATCCAAGTTGAACCGTACTGCATACCTGTTCACCACTGACGGCGAAGGCTACGATACCAAGTACAGGTAGCTGAAATAGCCAAGCGGCGGTTGCTCAGCAACGGGCGACAGTACACCACTGGTGTTGGAAGGGTGGCTGCTATCAAGCTCCTCACATCATCGTGCACATGGGCTTGCGCATTTGGCACCCTTGTTCCGCTTGGATCAAACGGATGACTTGGACTTGGGACGACAGCACCATAGTGTACTTTAAACAGCACAGGCATCTTGACACTTGATCAACCATACCAGCGCAAGCGCATAAAAAAAGTTGTTGGCAAGAGCAATCAATCCTGCTCCAACACCCGCATCTGCTGTCTCTGGTCATCCTGGCGACGCTCAAGTAAGTGGTGAGGACGCGACATAGGGGGACATCAAGATGCTGCGAAACCAACCACGTCCCAAAGCCCCAAAGAAGGGCTCGCACGCTGTTGGAAGAACCCTCCCCCACCCCAGAAGCTGCTTTTGCCACCTACCGGGCGAAGATGCTATTTGTACAGCGAGAGACAGCCGAGGCCCCTGCAGTCAGCTTCTGATACCTGACATGCAAAGATGTGAAATGGCCATGGAGGGATAACATTTCAGATAACAAGAATCTGGCAAGTCCCCTCAATCCCCTCCTGGAGATGGACTCGGGGGAGGGGGCGTCATCTTCATCCTCCTGTCAGGGTACATGAGAAGCTCCCTCCCTGTTCACGGCTGTATGTCCCGAATGAGGCATACTTAGGGGTCAGGATGGTATTGATGACAACTTGCGCTTCTGCAATGCGCGAATCTGCTATGCCATTGCGAAAGACCGGATCTCCACGAGCGTCAAGGTCAAAGATGTGTAGCGTAAGCACTTGTTTAATGCATGCAGCTTCGGAAGCATTCCGGGGAGCCGCCTCATGCTCACTGTCACTTGAGTAGTCGTTGCCCAAGTCCCAGCGCTTGTGGCGTCGTCCTGGGCAGCAGCTCAAATACGTGACTTCGACCACCAGCTCCACTGCCCAAAGGGATGGAAAAGACATGGGTGAAAGAGGCACCGCATGCAAACTACTTGTAGTTGTTCTGATACTGTGTCCCTGCAAGCCACTGCAACTCATTCCATTCGCTGTCTGAGACCCGTGCCATGGGTCTTAGCTATCACTGAGATGCGCCCCTCGTGGGCGGCCTGCAAAGCAGCCAAAAGTGCGCTCCTGCTCGACGGCTCAGCCCTACAACCTGGAAAGACAACCTTCGGGCTTGTTTGTATCCTGCGTGACTGGGTTATAACAAGACTGAACATCACAAGCCCATGGGAGGCCTCCGCCATGCTCCATCCCAAGCATCTTACACACATGAACAAGCTGTTTATGAAGCATGCAGGTGATTTGAAAGGGCCTCTGAAATCCGCCGGCCGAAAAGCCGATGCCTTGTGGCCTTTGTCTTGGCCACTGTCAAGGCTGTGGATACCTCGGGGAGAATGCCCACGGATGCTTTGCCTCTCTGGCTTCTGACCTGATTCCTTATACCAAATGCGCATACTCTTGCTCTCCCTCTTTGCGCTTTCCTCTTGTTTTCAGCTCTCTTCTTTGCTACTTCTCCAAAGGCTTTGGAGCTGTTGCCTGGATTCGTGCTATGCTTGCGGTGGCTCTGTAGCATACTCAAGTTAAAAATTATTCAATCTGGACATGGTCTTCGCTGGCGTTGCTGCGTGGGCCCTCGGCTTAGCAGGTCAGTGGTTGCGGGGCTTTGCCTACTCCTAGGTATTCTTACCTTTGGTTAGCTGGGAATGACAAATGGAAAAGAACATGGCAACTACTATCATGGGTTATATAGAGACTGCCATAAGCATCCATTCCTTCATTCCTAACCAAAAGTAGGTATTGGGTAAGGAGTTCTGCTGCACGCCACAAATGGCTCTCTAAACCCTAAACCTTAAACCCGAAACACTAAATAGTAGTTTCCATGTTCTGTTCCATTGTCCCTATATAACCCCAAATAATTGTCCTAGTACAATACAGTAGTTTCCATTTTCTTCTAGTTCCAGCCTTCTGCACCGAGTCGGACCCTTGCAGGGAGACCTTAGCGAATCATTTTGCATTCTGATGACTAGGTCGTAGCTTGCCTAAATAGGGGGACCCCCCAATTATTGGAAACTCTCAAGCCTATATACCTCAATATAACCCCTATGTCCCCTTTAAAGGGACCCCTTCATCTTGTGAAAAACCCCAGGTAAGGCTTGGGCATTTTCCTTCAAAGCCAGGGCTGATGAGGCCTTCACGGCAGCCTGCGCCTGCCAGTAGGGTCTAGGGTTAAGGGTTGCCAAAAAGCAAGCACACAGCGCAGAATGCAGGCGTCGCTATAAGCCACCAGATAAACCCAGTTACAGTTTCATTTTCCGTTTGGCCATTTGATTCTCCATGATTCGTCTTCAAGCCTTTGGAGCAGGCGTAGGGCTCGCTTTCTCGGAAGCCTCACCCAAACTTTCCAAGAGATCAATTGCCATGGGAACAGTAGTTGCTGCGTATCAAGAGGCCTAAATGACTGCTTCTCCCCAAGTATGTGCCCGCAAGAATAAGGGAATTAATAAGGGTATAGTAGCTAAGCCAGCAGGCAAATTTAAGCACGAGCTTCAGGAGTCGTCTGGGTCATCTTCGAATGACTGCCACTTCGCAATACTTCTGATATGTCATGCAAAGTCAAATAGACCTTGGAAGCTACAAGGCTAAAGTGGTTCCCAGAGGGGTGTCTGGGTCGCATGTCCAACTGTAACTGTTTCAAAGCCGCAAACTCAGGAACCAAACCACCCTGTCTGTCTGGGCTTTGGAATGATCGCTGTCGGGTCTTTTCCCAAGAGTGAAGCTCACCTACACCCTAAACCGTAGTGATGTTGTGCGTTGGTCCACTACCGATCAGGCGCGTCCTCTGCATCTGCAGTCTTTGCAGGTTTCACTGGAACCTGCCAATTCATCCCGCGCAGCACTCAAAGCTGCCAGTTTCCCACCCCTGCACATGAAACCCTCCGTGTCCCCATCACCAATTCCAGCTCCCTCTGCATGATTACTGCGAATTGCAAAAAGGTAATGTTTGATGAGTGTGAGTCACAAAGTGTGTAAAATGCATCACCTTTACTGCCCTATGCCCTCGTGTGCTGCAACGAGGCCTCCGGAGCAGCTGGCTTTGAGGAAGCCTTGTCCGAGTCCTTCGTGCGAATGCCAATGGCATGATGCAATGCGGCCTTGTCTCTGACCGGATTTGTGGTGAGGCTGGCATCATGTCTACACGGCTTTTGACTTCCACCATCTTCCACTGAAATTTCCAGATTGCACTGCAACCCAGGCTGCCACCAGCTTCCACTCTCAGGTCAAAGGCGTCACTCCTCTTCCAGTTCGACCTCATCCACTGGCAGCCGCTCGGCCAGGACAATGGTCACGCCTTGGCAGCGGAACCCTCAGGGAATTATATTGGGGTTAATTAGTATTGGGATAGTGGAAAATAAAATGGAAACTACTATAATGGGATATATAGGCGTTTTCTTGCTCTGATCTTCCGTGACCGACTCCAGCTCGGCTGCTTCTGAGCAAGCACCTTGCTGCAAATCAAAAAAGGCTCTGCGAAATGAACTTAGTAGTGAACGACCTACTAGTCATCACCGGTCATTCTCTAGGCCTCTGCTTCATATAATCACTGTGTCAAACCCTGTATAACCCCAGCGATTGACCTCCAACAAGACAAGATAGGCCTATTATGATCCCTTTAAATAATGCCCTGAATGTTGAAAGGCCCAAAGCCTACAGTACATACTCATACATATCTCCTGCGTATCCTATATTACCAAATTAATCCCGATACCCCCTCCTTAAAGGGACTGTAGCCATACTGGAACATACCTTCCAAGCTGGGCGGTCCGCAGAAGTACACTGATATTGCCACAACCGTTCGCCGTCGAAGAAATGCCTTGGACCTTGATCCGTTCCAGAGCTCTTTTTCCAGGCCTAGATAATATAGTAGGAATCTTAGGCTCTGGTAGGAACATAGTAGCATAGTGATTGTGATTCAATGGATAAGTTACTGCAGGGGCAATAGGAACACAATGTAATACATTAGGGCCCTCACAGTGCCTGCGAAGACTTGCCTACCATATCAGTGAAAGGTGATTGGGCCGTGGCAGGCGTTCGTATGGAGGACCTGACATAGCCAAAGGCCAAGCCTTGGTGACAGGCTCTATGAACTTCAGAAAAGTGCAAACACATATGAGCCATAGTCTAAACTCCTTAAAGGGGGATATATAGGGCATTCTATATGGGACTATTATAGGGGTTATTAAGGGGGATACTAGGAGTTTAGACAGTAGCTCATATGAGCGTTCGCCGAAACTCCTTGTATAATCCGATGCCATGGACAATTTTGGGCGGCATTCCTACTCTTTGTGCCTAATACGCGAGTATTGACCATTGTTCATCTAGAGACTATTATAGGGGTTATTGATACTCGGAGTTTAGACTCTAGCTCACATGTTGTGACTTTGAAAGGGCAAGGTTGCTTGCACTTTGGGATCCGCGCCTTTGGTTCTAGGAAGCTGTCGCAAACGCGACATGCAAGCACTTCCTCGATGTGCGCCGTCGCATGAGCCAAAAATGCAGATCGTCCCGACTTGTTTCATGTAATCCGGATGGCAGACGTGATGGCTCGAACAACAAGGCGGCCTAGAAGCCTATCTACTCCCGACAGGTCAACGGACCAAAGCCATGCCCTCCTCACATTTTCCTTCCAGTGATCTCAGTGCATGCAGCTCTCATGTTGAAAGCCGACGCAGGAGAGTCATAAAATGCAGCTTCTACACCGCTGACTGCAACCTTCTCCTGGGTGCCCTTCCGGCTCCCTAAATGCGGCTCCTCTCAGCCTGCCTGAGAACAAGCAAAAATGGCTTCAAAACATCGATACGGGCGGCTCCCGGAATCAGCAACTTGGCAGCAAGCCGCCGGCGAGTCCAGGAACTCGTCAAGCTCTGCGAGCCTCCAAGGACAAGTCACGTGCAGCTGCTGTACTTCTGCAATCTTCTCTATGCATAGCATAAGCAGTAAGCTATTTCCGCCACAAAGGGAACCAAATTGCTTGAAGCAGCGCAAGTCCTTCCAGTGGAACGTATGCCTTCTAACTAGCACGGTCGGAGTTGTGGCGTACAAGGATGCCTCGATGTCTCACCTTTAGCCGTCTAATAACTCATACCGTCGTGGCGTATCTTGGAGAACACTGACACTGAGATGCGGTCACAAGGGAACCCGTGGATACCAAATGCGTCCAGCCTGTCTGTGCTGAAATGGATCCGCAGGCCAAGCCTCTGCTCCAAACAAGACTTCAACACGGAGTCATTGGAACTAAGCCACGCCTGAACACCAAGTACTGCACGGTAGTATCCATGCCCCTTAATACTAAAAGACTCTGATTACCCTCATACGTACATGCAGAACCCCATATACTTGAGGGATGTTGAGGGCCAGTGGCAGACATGCAAGCCCTACGCCCGGTCAACTTGTACAAGGTACGACTTGTACCATACAAAATTGAATTGGATGTCCCGGTAACACATGTTCGCGCTTGCAACAGAACAAACAGCAATCCAACTGCAGAAAGCCTTTTATGCATAAACAGTAAGTTGCCAGGCAAGATGCCTTTCCTGTTGAGAATTTACCTGCATGAAGCGTGAAAAGCTCGTGCGTGTGCTATACAGTAATCGACCGTGCTGGAAGAGCAACAAAGACTGCGCACCGAATGCAATCTGCGGGGTTTGCTTGCAGCTACAACAGATACCAAACCCAAAGAAGTCCCAGGGAGCGCATTGGCCTTCGAAGAAGCCCCAAGAAACCACTTTTACCAACCCCCGAAAACGGTGACCCGGTCGTCCCAGAACCCTCCAAAAAAGGGGCCGCTTGCGCGACCCCCCCTAATCCTCGCCTCGGTGCAGTCTAGCCTCCTAAACCAAGCCATTTCAGGATACGCGAGACAGACCCCAGACCCCCACTACCCAGCTCACTACGTTCGGGTATATGAGCGAAGCTTCTTCTCACGAGGAGCTCTCGTGAAAAGCTACGGGCCAAATTTTCATCAGGCAAGAAACCGGTGCATGCCGTAGTCCTGCATGGTGAGGTGGTCGCTGTCGAGATCAACATAAACAGTCGAGCCTGCAGGTATGCGCTGGTGATTCAAGCAGGTTTATAAGGCTTAGTGACTTGAAATATCCGTGCATAACAGTGGATTATGGTGCTCTGCTTACGCCTCATTGTCATAGAGGCCCTGAGAAACTCCTGCAAAGCTCCATTGCCAATGCGCGTGAGTTGTTGTCCCAACAAATTGAATTGCAGCCGATGTAAACAAATCTTGCACTATGATTCGACATCGATTCAGACTCTGGATTCGATTGATCATGGCGGACTTGGCTTGTAAGTTGGAAGCCGTCCCTAGAACATGGCAGACAATTGAAGCCTGCCTGGCTCGAACTCCGACATCAGCTCCCCAAACAGGATCTGCTTGTCCTTGTCTCAATTCAACTGCTACAACTGCTAATTAGCTGGTAGTTGCCCAAAATAAGGGGACCCCGATATAGACCCCAAAATAATGTAATCCTTTTTCTAGGGGCCCTCAAAAAGGTACCCCTAGCCATGTCTGCTGGGAGGCTGACAGGCCAAGGGCTGCAAACAGTTTTCTGACCCCAATATACTATAACTATAGTAGTTTCCATTTTATTTTCCACTATCCCTATATAACCCCTATATACTATGGTAGTTCCCATTGTATTTTCCATTATCAGTTTAACTTGTGTTTGTTGCGCAGCTTCCATGCGCGCTACTGTGCGAACCAAAAAGGCCACGAGTCGGCCGGAATGGAGAGCTTTGTCCTGGAAGTGGCAGGATGACACAAAAGCACAAATGGAAACACACAATGGAAACTACTATAGTATATAGGGGTTATATTAGGAAGGATGGAAACTAAAATGGAAACTACTATAGTATATAGGGGTTACGTAGGAATAATGGAAAATAAAATGGAAACTACTATAGTATATAGGGGGCAGAATTTGAGGCACTGGCTCCAGAAGCTTCTTCAGCTCTGCCACCGTGGTTTCAGGCTGCAGGTCGAAGATCAAGCGCCTCGTCTACGAGGTCGCTATGATGATGTATCCACAGAAATCATCGACTTGCAAGACGTCGTGTGACAGTCTAGAACCACTCAACCAGGCTCTTGTATGTATCGACGCCAAGTCCTTCAGAGAGCAATGGTGACCCGGCCTTTCTCCATACCTTCTGAGCCTCGTCTTCTCAGATGCGACTTCCCACACGGCCGTATCCAAGGATGGTGGCCTCAGTCTCGGTGGAATGGCTTCAAGCTGAATATCGTTCCAACATCCTTCGAAGCGTAGTGTCTTCTTACTGCAGTGCTGTCAATCCCTCTCCCTGACAAAGGCAGAGGCAAGTAGTCGTTTGATGCTTGGCTCAAACTGCACCTTGAGACGCGGACACGACCACCAGCATTTCGAAGCCCTGCTCGACATAGGGACTTATGCAGATGAACCTCGTGCCTCTTTGAGTGTGCCACAAACAGAAAGGGGCGCAGCAAAAAAGACACACACACACACACACACTCCTTCTTAGACTTTCTTCAAACGAGTCTGGTTGTCATCTGACTCCCAATATACTATGGTAGTTTCCATTGTATTTTTCATTATCCCTATAGAACCCCTATATACTATAGTAGTTTCCATTTCATCTTCCATTATTCCTATTTAACCCCTATATACTATAGTAGCATCCACTGTATTTTCCATTATTTCTATAAAACCCCTATATACTATAGTAGTTTCCATTTTATTTTCCATTGTTCCTCTATACCCCCTATATACTATAGTAGTTTCCATTGTATTTTCCATTGTTCCTATATAACCTCTATATACCATAGCAGTTTCCATTTTATTTTCCATTATTCCTATATAACCCCTACGTACTATAGTAGTTTCCATTTTATTGTCCATTATTCCTATATAACCCCGATACACTATAGTAGTTTCCATTTCATTTTCCATTATTCCTATATTGCCCCAATATTGTAACCCCATATATTCCCTAGTGTCCATTTAATTTTCCATTTTTTCCATTTGATTCTCCATTATAGTAGTTTCCATTTTATTCCCCGCTAATCCCAATATAACCCCAATCTACTGTAATGGCGCCTGCAGCTTTGGCTTCATGACGAATCTTGGAGGCCAGTTTTCCTGAGCGAGCCAGGGGGGCCCAAGAAAGTTTCCTGAACGAGCTGTAGGTTGCTCATGGGGTATTACATAAGGCTGCCACAGGATACGTCAAGGCCTCTTGACAACAGGCTTTGGATACTATCTAAATTCACTTTCAGGGCTAGCCTAAGCGTGCAAAGTGGAACTGCCAAAAGTTCGCAGCCCGCGAACAAACACCTTGCAACTGGGACCTGACCTCCTCAAACTGACCGAACTCTGCCCAAGGCCGCTTCCAACCCAAAGCCAGACCACTGCGCGAAGCACTCCCCCAATCGCGTCGCATCCTAGCACAGTGCTGACAGAAGTCATGAAGACAATCGCCCAGCCAATGTCGCAAAGAAGGGTCCCGAAGCTCGTGCGGGGGGAGGAAGATGCGCGGCGACTGGAGGGCAAGGCCATCCTGCACTCACAAAGGATGGCTCCAAGCCAAGAGGCATGCAGTTTAGTCCTGCAGGAGCCGTTTTTTCAGGCTTCCGATGGTGTCTTTGCCGCGGAAGCCTTCAAACAACACCTCACGGGGCAAGGCAGAATCTCAAGTCGAGGTTGATGTTGGGATGCTTCAGGAGATCAACATTGACATATGTGTGTCTGATCCTGCTGACTTGAGCTACCTTGTAACATCCGGCAACCTCGCAAGCATTATCTTGGTGTCTGTTTAACACATCCTCAGTAGACCTGCTAGACCCATCAGTACAGACCCTAGACCCAGAGACCATCAAGCCAGAAAATCATTACTCCTGGCCTGTTTGGCAAACTCCGTGGACTCATCCACTGTCAAGTCAGGTGTTGACCCCTCAGCATCCCACAGCCCTGCTTGTGGTATGCCCTGGCAGAAACCTGCACCCCAAGTCCTGAGGTAGCTGAGGGCTGTGCTAGAATTCTGACCTGACGGCGGTCGCTTCTCATACGGAACTGAAACATGCAGCAACCAGGTTTGACGCACCCGCATGAGAGTTGTCCCGTGCTCCGTCCTGATTTCATCAACCGAGAGTCCGACGGAGAACGGGGGCACGAGCTCTTTTTGCTTGGCCGCTTCCACTGCAGCATCATCAACCAGCCTAGACTCAGGCTTCGGCCCAGGCCATGTGGAACAAATGACCACAATCGCGGGAGACTTATCGAACATCTTCCATGCGGAACATTAAGTCCATCACGGTGCAACATGTTGGCTGCGCGGCACTGCGCTAGCACTGCCCCCCCCCCTGTATTAATCTCCGACAACACTTCAACGAGCCTCTTCTCTGGATCGAGCTTTGCCTGGTAGGAGGGCCGCCCCTCCTTGGCCTTGCAATTCCGACTGCAGCTTCCCACATCTCCAATTCGTACACCGTCATTGCATCCTAGAATCAGAGAGGATGCGTCAAAGCCAAGAAGGGCAGTGCGTCTGCTCAGCCTCTCTCACCCTTTGATAAGGACAGCGCCCAAACTCTCTGGAGAGAGCCATCCGTTTGCTGAAGCGTCCTTTGACGATTTGTTGGATATGTGGGATCTGAGGATAGCCGTCGGTCAGTTGCAAAGCGCCAAGGGGATGCAAGCTGCAGCATTCAGTAGTCGAGGTGGGATCGAAGAGTATGAAGTTTTTATCGTAATCCATCACTCGCAGCCACTGTAATCCACTCCGTAGATTGGATTGAATTTCGCAAGATACTGCAGGCCAGCAACTGGTCGATTAGTCGCACGCATGAGCACTACCTGGTAGGTTCCGTGCTCGGTAGGTTCTTGCTCCCGTAGACGCTTGCGGAACCTGAGGCAACAAGTTCACAAAAGTCAGAACCTCTGGAACCAAGAGGTCTTACAGTTGCCGCGCTACTGCAAGCAACTTCGTGCGTGAAGTTGGTTGATCAGTACGATTGCAAGGGTTTGGTCATCCAGCGAGCGCCTTGCGAGAATATTGTTCTGGCTTTTGCTGTGGACAAGGCTGTCAGCGCAGGGCAAGCAAGAACTGCAAATAGCCCGCGCAAAATTGTCACAAAACCCAGCTGGCTTCAAGCAGAAAATCAGCTTCTGTGATGTTGGTATCGTGCGAGCTCGCGGCTTGATTGATTGATTGATTGATTGATTGATTGAAGCCTGTGACTCGCAGCGTGAGGGGAGGCTCAGTCTGCGACTCATGGCTCAAGCCATTGTGTGCGCTTCCATCCTTGACACCCGGATTGAGTTGGACTTAAATCACTTTAGTCAAGCTGGACGATTTACCTGCCGCCTCCGTCACTGAGGTCTGGACAAAGATTGCCATGGCAGGTGGCGCGGGTGCCCTTCACAAACAAGCACAGCATGACCACATGCAGTGCTGCTATATGGATTGCAGGCTAGTTGGTGATGTTCTTTTTACGTAGTTCCACCTGCTAAATGCATATGGTCGGTACGAGACGGAACCAGGCTAACTTGCCCGAGAAGCTTGTGAAATCAGTTTGGCCCATGCATCGTCGGCATCAAGTAGCCTAGTTTACTGATGTGTAGGAACCTTCCAAACAAAACAGGTGGATGCTGCTCGTTCAAGCTGCCAGGCGGTTGCTAGTCCAACTTTGGCCAGAGCAATGGCAGTCTCAGCAAGGTTATGGTCCTCTGCCACCCTATTCTGCATCGCAAATCCACTTCAGCCTGGACGGACTCTTTTCACGCAGGGCAACAAGACCACAGACGAAAGCCTGTCAGAAGGCCTGCATCATAGCGTACATTATCAACACGCCTTCGGCGATTTTGGGTGAATATTTGCACATGATGGTGCTGAACGAAAACTGAAGGGCAACGTCTCGCTGAAGGGTGATGCCAACAGAAGCCAGAGTCTAGAAGCTTCTGATCACCGTTTCAGCATCATCCTTGTGCAAAAGCTCCCTGAGGAGCACCACAGGTGGTAATCACGGATTTTCTGGTGCAGCACTGACGAATCCTACGTTTTTGTTCGCTTAGGACTCCGGGCTCCTTTTTGCCATATTGTCGAGTTGTAGCATGGACTTGGCCATCACTTGAGGTACTCGCACGAGGTTGACTATTACCAGAGTGTCGTGCACAGGAAACACCAGAAGCAGATGTACTGCATGTACTACTGTAGAAACCTGAAGGTTTTTTTTTGCCAGTGGTGTGCTGAGGATAGAGTATGACAGAATAATTTGCCGCCCATATATGTGAATGGCATTTCCTATTTCATTCTTATTTCTCAGGTTTCCACAGGGGGCGGGCCACTCGGGAAGACTGTCTCAAACATCGCAAGGATGCAATGATGTCAAAGAAAAGCAAGAGGACACCTGCAACTTGTGCAGCTTGCATGCAGCCAAAACTTTCAGGCGCACAAGACCATGCATATCCTGATGGCTACGGCTACGCCTTTCAGGGATTGACGTGTGCTGTTTGGAAATCATTGCAAACGCAAGAATCTCTTGAGTAGACTTCGCGTAGAAGCTTGTGAGGCCCGGGCATGTATCAAGCATCAACATCTCTCACCAACCTCAAAGGGAACCAAGGCGTTCTGTCGAGGTACACTGACCATCGAATGCTGAAGCACATGTAGATGTCTGGTATTACATGTCTCAAAACAGCAGCTACAGTACCAACAGCACAGTTGTCCAGCTGTCTGGGCTCTCTCACGTACCTTTCAGTGAGTGCACTGGCCAGCTCACTGAGATTCCAGCAATGTCGGACTTACTGCTCTCCACCTCCGCTGACTCGTAATCCTGCACGGATCCCGCGGAGCACGATGGACATCTCGACCAGATTCGAGACCGGAATGCTGAAGCTAGGCAGGATGGTTGACATCTGTGCAGATTGGTAGTTTCTTGAATTCACGTGAGCACAGGCCTCTGGAGAGTTACTCACAGGCTGCAGCGCGTCGCTCTCCTGACTTTTGGAAACCGGAACAGTTTGCCCAAATTAATCCGCTGAGTGTCCGGATAAACTTTTTCTACTGACTGATAGCAAGAGTATAGTGAGGTGGAAAAATCACCAGACCGTAGCGATGATCATTCTCCGGCAGCCTCGTGGCCAACAACTGAAACGCAACAAGACAGCTGTAAGCTTTGCACAACCTTTGCTGAGGGGATTGAATGTGTTGCGTGTACAAACACGGTGGCCGCAATGTTCTACGTGGCTCTCGGCTCTCTGAAAGCTCTGGCATATCTTTCACTGAGATCTGTATCCAGTCCCGAGGAAGACTACGCCCGACCGCAAGGCCTGTTGCGGTTTACTGCAATGACTTCTGCTGGCCGCACCGTCATGTTCTTCGGTGCCAGGGTCGGGCTGCTCGTCGGTGACATCAGGTCACCTCAGCATGGAAAAGGGGCAACGGGCGATGGTATGTAGGATCAGACTCCAAGGAATGGATGTGCGTCTTGCAAGCGGCATCGGAGTCGACCCAGAAACACGCACATGCTGCAAGAAGTGCGAAGGGTGCCGGGCAGCAAGAGAGTACAGTAATGCCAGCAGGTCCATGGTCAAGAACAAGTGAGATGTGGACGGTACGAGAACATGGCAATCCACACGACACAATTTCCGCGGGTTTCTGAAGATGGCAGGTGGAAACAGAAGCGTGCGAAGCTAAGCTTTCTGCGAACAACCTTGAATCCGTGAAGATACGGCTTGGTGTAGTAGCTCCCCTGCAAGGCAGCTGCTCTGTCAGGCTTCGTTTCTTTTAGCAACTGGCAGGTCTCGGATGGGCATCAGAAACCCGCAAGTCTATGGGTCTTGCCTGCCATCGCACATAATGCCCCTTCCCTGCCTCAGCAAACGCTTGCTTGCCGGGCAAGGTCTGCATGGCTTTCTCTGAATGGAAGAGATCTGAGAGGTCCTGGTCATCCTGAACAACCGCTGAGTTCTGTGTTCAATGGCAGGAATGATGCAACAAAGGCCAATGACAAACAAACAAGACCGAGTGAAGGTAGAAGCAGACTCCTCCGGATCCTCTGGCGTGAAGTTGCCAGCCACTTCGTTCATGGAGAAAACAAATTCGCGCCCATAAGCCCTGCGCGCTCAGGCAGCCATGAAGAGCCAGATCCCAAGTGTGTTGCAAACACGGCGCTCTGATGGCTGCAGATGTGCGGCAACATCACACAACCAGCAGCAGGCTTACCAGGCACCCACCAGTACAGCCAGAACGTGTTGGCACCCCACAGCAGCAACTTTCGCCGAGCGGCTTCAAGAGCTCCAGGTCTGCGCTGAATGAAGAAGCTACATCGTGGAACCTCAGCACAGTCTCAGCCTTCGTAAAAGGCCTGGAACGATCTGTTCACCTTCTGTGTTTCTAGCATACAAGAAGCCGTCCTGTCCTTACAACAGTTCTTTGCATTGGGAATGAACCTTAGCAAAAGGGCCTGACAGCGCACCTCCCTTGCTTGCCCTGGGAAAGCGTCTTTGAATTCTACCTGGTGCTCAGAGAACCAAGAAATTCAAATCGTTGTCTTGGGGGCTCGTCATTGCCAACAGTTTCTGCTGCGTCGTCCTGTACACTTGCAATTCTGTAACTGTAAGCTGAGGCCTTGGCTGCTTGGCGTCCATCGCAATGATTGTTGATTCAGTGCGCGCATACATCCTGCCAACAGAGGGGGATAAATTTTGACAGGATCAGGTCACAATGCATGCAATCGTTTAGTCCTCCATGGACTTATGCCCAATCTCTGCTTATACAAAGCGTCCCACCCGGTTTTTCATGAAGACGCCCGTCCTCCCTTGATGAACCCATGGGGTCCACAGCACCGCCTGGTATCGGAGTCAGCATAGAAAGAATTGTCAGGACCTACTTGGCTTCCTCTGCACTTGCTGCTATGCCCCACTTTGTGATGCTCACATGAAGGACATGAACAAAAGAACCAACCAATTACCCAAGGCAGCTATTCAGCCTCGCAAAACGTTGTTCGCTTCTCCAGGATGTTGGGCAGCGCAGCCTGTGGCTCCACATGAAGGCCATGCCAAAGAGCTCATTCAACGGCAATCTGTCAGAAGAGTCAAGACCTGGTTAGATGTTGGACCAACGGTGGTTCAGCAATGTAAGACTTGACTTCAGCTAGGACAAACTTCAGGATCTGATGCTTGCGCGGGGGTTAATTTATCAGATTTGGGAGTTGTTGGACGGTTTCACTCGTGTCATCCGGGATGTGGAGAGGACTGCGTTATGCTTCATTTCGGTCCCCGGTCCAGCTCCTAGCGATTAGGCTCATCGAAAGTTTCACGGACATGGCTTAACGTAGTCACGCTCGCGCAGCACGACTAGAGGTCGAGTCTGAGTCAAAGTCTGTGTGAAGTAAAGGAATCTGGTTTTGTACAAGGGCAAAGACAAGGTGCTAGCTCGCAAGTCAACAAGTCGGCGACTTCCCTCTTCAAGCGTGCTTTGGAATGTTCATGCAATCCTCCAGAACTACCGAGCGTACATGGTGTACTGGTGTGGAAATAAGGCCGCCATCCCAGTCTCCCCACAAGCAGAAAGCAACATCATCTGGAACTTCATCAAGGCACTTCTTTCAACTGACATCCAAGACAAATTGAGTGGCGTTCTGCATGGTTGGACCTAGGAAGATCATATTCCTCATATTTCCTTATACAAGGTACCATACCCAAAAGGAGGAAATGATGTTACGCGATATTGTGGACCATGGCATCCCCCCCAAAAAGCTACTCAATTGAAGTCAGCAGAGCTAGCATTCGAATGAGATAAGCGAATTGAATGTTGTGCTTGCCCTTGTTGGGGTTTAGATTGGTCAGTGTTGTGGCCGTGCTCTGCCAAAAAAGCCATCAATCCATAAACATATAGTGCCCCTTAAGTAGATAGAATATGGGGCTTATGGGGACCTTATTATAATATACCCAAAGCGATATTCTATCTACTTAAGGGGGACTGTACCCGCCACAAAACTCAATGGTATGACTCCTGGGAGCAGGCCGTCTGACCCAAGCTGTTTCAAAAGCAAACATCTGGCATTTGGGCAGATTTGCTGGCATAGGTGGGTGCCTGCGACAGATAGTACTCCAGAATGCCCAGCGTTACGAAATACCTGAAGGGGGCTGCAAAGGAAGGAGGGCAAGCAGAGGTGGCATTGTGACTTCCGTTTGTCTTCATGAACTATTTTATTACAGGAGCCTTGGCCTCGGTCTCCGTTTTTGTTAGATACTGTAAGAGTGGCAAGCCGCAAAGTCGTCTGCCTTGTAGTGATAGCTTCAACAGGGACCAGGAGGGGGAATCAGCTTTTTGGCTTTTATGTAGCTGTGCTTGCGCCTGTCTCTGCACGAGGCAGCTGAGCTTCAGGCATCGCCGTGCAAACTTGTCCCGGACCGAAGATCATCTCACCCTTATCCAGGACTGATTCCTGCGATTTCAATGCGATGCCCAGCTTCGCTGCGAGCTGCTACACAGAGGTACAAGAAACGTTAAGCATTCAGAAATGCCGATGTGCCAAGGAAAAATAATCAAAGAGTGGTTCAAACTGTAATACAAATAGGAGCAGGCGTGCCGATGGATGATGTTGGGTAGGTTTTGAGCGGTTTCGCCTTCAGGGCATTCGAACATATCTTCTGCATGAGGCTGATGTTGAGGTCGCCTCAAGCAGTTGTTCAGTGAAAGTGAGTCTTCAGCATCTTCCAGAGTATTCAATGCGGATTGCGATCAAATACACCACCAGCTGCCTGCTGACACTCTGGCTCGGAAAAAGAAAGTTCCAGGCCTAGTCCTACCTGAACTAAGCCGAGCGCTGAGGGCTTGGAAGAGGGGATGGACCTTGCAAAAAACATAGGCTGCTCAGCGGCCAGTGCAAGGCGCCGGACGCATCCCATGCTCATGGAATTCGGTACGTAAGGTCTGGGCAACCAAGTGTTTTTCGTAGATCTCCAGGTTGACTTCCTCACGACAAAATCCAGCAAAGGAAGTACACCTCATGCAGCTGATTCCATTTTATTTATGGCTTCAGCGCTGCCCCCGGTGCACTTCAAGAATTGTGAGGTATCGACTACAAGATCAGGAGAAGCATTCCATGCCTTGGTCAACATCTGCGGCAGCATGGCCATGATTTTGACCTTGACGGATTGCGACACATGTCGGGAGGGCTGGTCTTTCGCCATGTCAGGACTCTCCAGGGCATCGCAAGTGCAGCAGGGTAGAGCACAGCGGACAGCCATAAACGTGCACAAAAGACGTCGCGGGAATGCTACTTGCATCAAAGTCTGTCATGGCTTTTCCAAAGCGAGAGATGCTGGGGCGAGACACTTTCAAGCACCACAGAGGATTCAAAATTATTGAGCAGCACGTCAGTAGAAGTTCATTGATACTCATGATGTAGCAAAAACAATTCAGCTTTCCGGTAACGGCACGCAAGTTGTTGAATGTTTTTGAAACAAAGCCATGCCTGTGAGACATGTACAACACTGAGAGGGCGTTCATAGCTTCTGTTGAAACCATTGGCAAATCTGAAAATTGACCGGCTGAAACGATGCTCCTACCTACAATTTTGGCATAGAGGTCGTCCCACGATGTGCCACCATTCATGGGCAACTGTTGCTGCTGGTCAGCATGGTCAGCCATCACGTCTCCCGCCGATTCTCGGAAGATCATGAGTTTACAAGCCTTTGTTGCGGCACTTGTTTGCAACTCCATTGGTGCACTCTTTCGCGGAGTGGACGAAGTCATCAAGGGCTTGTCACCAAGGGCCGCCCAACATGCGCTTCTGGGCAACTCCTAGATGGAGAACGCACTTCTCCACTCTTTGTATATGCATACATTGAACTTCAGGGATGGATTGAGAAGTGCACATGATCGCCAGTGCTGTATTGTCTTTCTTTTGCTCTTGCCGAAACCTCTTCCTTGCACAAACGCAACTTGGAAGTGTTGCAAATGCCCGAGTTCTGATACAGGCATGGCCAACACTCAGCATATTGATGCACGCTTGGCCAACTAAATCAATGCAAACTGTTTGACCTGCAACATCTTGCAAGATTGCCCGAGGGCGGTGCCTGGCCCACATCGACCTTCTGGTACTTGGGCTTGACAATCGACTCCGTGTATCTCAAGACCCTGCGACAGCACGCGGCTAGAACTGTATGTATTCTTCAATATGCCGGCTAATTACTGGCACTCGTTTACATGCAAAGCCGCACCTGTGGGTAAGTTGAGCAGAGATCTTCTGCTCGCGGAAGTAACGGCGCAAAGTCCAAATCTGGTGCTTGTAGACCCTAAGAGCACAAGAGCGTAAGCATTGTTCATTCACAGCCAGAGCTCATGCTCGCCTGTCCTTGTTCTGCATTCTGCCAGCGTCTATAGAGTGTGTAAGTTTCCCAGGGCCTTACCCCTGCCCCGGCGGTCAAATCGAACAAAGCGCTAGCAGTGCTTCACTAGTCCTGGTAAAGGTGTCCGCCAAGCAGTTCAAGGGGGCGAAGCTGAGGGTCGGACGCGTTGATGTCTTTAAGGTTGTTGGTGGCAGCAGTGATCGAGCTCACTGTTGAGGAAAAGACAACCATACCGAGAACCAGCACCTTCGCAAAAGGATGCTGTTCCAAGACTTTCAGTGCGGCTCGCTCATGCAGATCTCCGCTGTCAAAGTTTGGATTTGAACGCTTGCTACTGGATTGCGATCATCATGCTGCCCAACGTCGCAGCCGCAACTTCGCTCATAAGCTGGGTTGCATGCGATAACGCTGTAAAGGCGCTCGATGCCTCTCACACAGGCTCAGTTGCGACATGCACGCATGTGTGTCACAGCCATTTGTTGGTACAGCATGGTCACTCTGACAGACTCTCACAACGCACATGGAGCAGCTCACGGCAAGCTTTGGTTCAGGTAGGGTCAGGGTCTTTTCATCAAATACAATGGTAAACTCAGCTGCGGCTCCAATAGCAGGCTCAGATTGTTCTTTGTTCGAAGGTTTGCTCTCTACCATTCGACGTGGAAATGAGTCATTGCTCACGGAAAAAATAAACTCTCTCCCGCGAAAATTCAAGAGCTTTGCTAACCACCGACCTTCACACCAATACCACCCCTGAAGGCATCACCACACCTAATTAACACGGACAGCCGGCACAATTCAGAAAGCTTTCAGCCATAGGGGGCCTCTAGCATGTTATCTATATTGAATTACAGGGGTGCTGTAGACTGGCGAAAGGGTCCCACATGTCGTTTTCATTTGCACTGCTACCGGAGTAGGTTATAGGCTGCTTTAACGATAACAGAATGCCGACCAGGACAATCACCGGGACAGCGACCGAAATCACCGACCAGCACACCGGGACGCCGAGCGGGACTGCGACACCAACCAGCACCGGCAGGAATTGGGACACCAGCGTGAAGTAGGACTGTTGGCTTAGAAACGATTATACGTCATAGATTCGGAAAAACTGCTTAATTACAAGCTACTTGTTCTCGAGCTTTGTAAGACTTAGTAAGTCCATTCTATGTTGATCCAACAAGCAGTTCTATATCTGCACAAAGTGCTATTGCTTTTCCAGCGGGGCAAGGGAATTGGCAGTCTTGCGTCTTACCCTGTGCGCGGGTTAAGCAGGCCTAGCGCTCACAGGCCGCAGAAATTCCCTGTGTATGCGTGTATGCGTTCCCTTTTGGGGTTCCAAATATCTTATAAAAAAGACCTGCATAAAGAGAAACCGCTCGATTCGAAACAACGGTTTCTTTTCTGTATTTTTCTGCATGTACAGTGATTTCTGCATAACTATTTCACCCCAACAACAACTCCGAGCTTCTAGACGGGCCCTGAACTTGTTTAACAGGCGCGTACATTTTTCTCTCTTCTTCAACACGCTGCTTGGTCTCAAGATGAGCGAAGCTCAGCACGAAAAAATGAGGACACAATGCCCTAAACGCTACTGAAGCCAATGCCACCGCTCCTGTACTGTTTCATATTTCTCGCCCGGGGATGAGTCCTGTCGAGGTCTACTCGATGACATATTCGACAAGGTATTGTCTGAGGTATTCTCTGAAGTATTTGCTGAGACACTTGCCGAATCTGCGAACTGCGGTGTCACAACCATTTCAAGGAGTTCTTGCAGGATTGGATTTTGTTTGGGAAGGGGGGCTCGTGGTGCACAACCCTATTTACTATATCAGTCCAATGCTGCTGGCTGGTGGTCTCAAATTGGAACCCGGGTGTATGACAGCGTATGCATCGCTGCACGATTCCAGCAACCAATTCGCCTGAGGCTTTCCAAACCTCCTGGTGTGTTCTATTCTCGGTGCATATGTTCCTTGTTCAAAGAGAATTTCACGCATTGGGTCATTGGGGGGGCATCTTAGTATATGACCTAGCAATGTGCTTTTTCTTTGCGTCCATTTTGCTGATAAAGGGTACATGTTTGTATCCATACTCCTGAGCCACGGTACGGATAACTCTCTGGTTGGTCCAACTTCTGTCTAGGTGTGGTGGTGGTACACTTAACACACCTAGACAGAAGTTGAAACATCGCATACATTTTTCTGGGGCGCTTTTTTCCCAGGTACAAAACAAACACACAACGTACAAAAAAAACCACTGTTCTTGCCTTTTCCTCGCTATCTGTGACGAAAATTGTCCAAGGGACCCAACTCTCAGCTCACCCAGCCCCCAATCCAACCCCATGGTCAGGCTCGGGAGGGAAGGGCAGCGTGAAGGAAATACCTGATTCTGACAGGTTTTTGTACAGAATGCGTCGACGCTAGTGCCTGCCGAAGATGTTGTATACTGCGCGCCAAAAGGGAATCCTTGCCTACCATCCTAAAATGCAAAAGCTCCCTCCGTTCCAACTCATCCCAGGCTTTCTTCATCTCTATGTGTCTATATTTTCCGATCGTGACTTAACATAATTTGGCATTTGGATTCAGTCAACTATGACTCGGTAAACAACATTGTAAGCTGCTCACATTTCCCTGCAGCGGACGTATAAGCCCGCCACTATCTCACTGAATTTGTAAGTTCCTCCTGTACAATCGTTCTTGTCGGACATCTACCAGCGCAAACTGGGATCCGGATACTGACCGGGAAACTGATCACGACCGGGGCAGTGACCAGGACATTGACCACGGCTGACACGCCAAGAGGAAAGTAGATTGGGACACTGACCGCCCAAACCATTTGCAGATTTCCAAAAATGGACGCAAGCACGAACGAAAACCAAGTAAACTATAGACCTGGAGCATGGTGGCTAGCTGGGAACAACAAGAACTATGTAATGCTAACGTTAAGTTTTGGACTCTATTATCCCGTTTCAAAACACTGCGCTCAAATGCCACTTGCCATCTGCCCATGAGCTGTGTAAGGCTGATGCTGTTCACAGGCTGCACATTCATCGACCCCGGCGTGAACCTGGGAAGTTCAAATGATGGATGCTGGTTTAGGGCCAAGTATGATCCAGTCAGATTATGCGGAAGAAACCGCAAGGCAGAAGGCGTTCCTGGACTCATCGCAGTGTCTTGACACTTTGCAATCGCAACTTAATGACAATGTGTCCCAGCAGAAGCTGGCAGCTCACGACAAGGGCAGCGTTGTGTCCAACTTCCCAAGTAGCAGCATTCTGTCAGTGCTGAAGTTGAACTCACATCTGCATCTGTATCTCAGCCTGCCTATGCTAAGGCTAGATAAAAATGGATTGAGCGAGCAAGACTGCAAGCAACTGCCCACAACTTCGCGCAAGCCATACAGTAGCAACCAGGACGTGCGCACAAAGCATGTAGCAGCAATCTCGACACTGATGCTCTACTTGGCAGCTCTTTGCAGTGGCGGCACTGCGTGATCGACCAGTGCAACGATGTCAAGTACCTCTTGGCATGAAGTTTTGGACAGCTTTGTCAAAGTCTAGTGCACTCTTTTGAGACCCAGTGCTTGGCTAATCATGGCAATGCGTGCAGTGTCGTGCGGGCTTCGTAATATCACTGCGCCAAAGTATTGATGGAGACTCGGGCGGCCTGTACATCAACTGCCTGTCCAAAAAGCCATTCGCAGACACCCATGACTCCTTGCAGCGTGCAGCATGCGCAGCTCGGCGAAGGCTACCTCCCCTTTAATATCTTTTCCCATCTGCTCTTTGCTCGGGCAGGTTCCGTGGGTTAGCGTCAGTTGATGCCGGTTGTCAGATTCTATTGGGTTCAGTCGCTAGATATGAGTAGGTCCTCATGGAGCATCTCCATGCCAATGGCATACCATCCACATCCGATAAAATGAGACCTGGGTTCAGACCCTTTGCCAAGCAGCTGCATCCACATGGCTTCTGGGATGTAAGGAGATGGAAAGGCAAAACTGAAGGTTGATGCAGGGCTGGGGTGGGTCATTTTCCAGCAATCACTTACGTAGAAACTAGACTGGAACGGATAGCACTCACATCATGTTCATCATTCAGGAAGTGTCAATGCCAGTTTAATGAAGTCAAGAGGCAGAAGAAGAATCCACACCATGTTCCTCAAAGCGGCGACGAGAAGACTGTGGTGAGAACTTGACCGGCGCTGCATTTATCAATCTGCTGCACTCATGCATAGGGCTCGCAACGGATTGAAAACATACAATCCTGAATACTGGGGTAGTATCCCTATAATCCCCCATATAATCCCGATATATATATATATATATATACATATAGAACTGCAATTTCCATGTGTTTTCCATTATCCTTACATTCCCTTATTCCCTACCATCTCCCGGGGCTTCAGCATGATGAGCTTCTGCACAATGGAGAAGTACTGCAAGTTAATGAACCTGGTGCAGGATGTATTCTTTTTGAGGTTTAGCTGGGTTCAGCGTGCCCCCTGATGCTCTTTTCTTCAAACTGGCCTTCCTTGCCTGTGGGTGTTGCTGTAGCTCTTCACAGGTGTGATCCGAAATCCGGCTAGTGGCAATAAGTCAAGTTGTGGCCCGGGCTCGTCGAACTGATGTAGCGCCTTGCAAGTCGCAGATAGGAGCTGGTGAACAAATTGAACCATCTGATTCCTACTAGAAGATCTACGAGAAGCAAGTGACAAAACATGCCAAAAAGCCGGCCCTCAACAGTCTTTTCGGTCCTCTTGGAACTTCCGCAGACGCAGTAACCGCATGACCCGCATAATCCTGCAAATGAAAAAGAGAATGTTGCAGAAGCTTGTTCTGCGCCGTTTGCCGTGCACATGCGGGCTCCTTGCCTTCGTGCGGAAACACTTCGCTGCAGCCAATTGAGGCCATAAATGTGGGGACTTGGCCCTTAGGACAATTCAAAACCAAGCCTAACGTCCAACATTTTACTCAAACCACATTTATCTGACGGACTCCAAGCTACTCCTGCAGTCGCATGACAACACCTAGCGAGCTGTCCTCATGTAGCGGACCGATTTGCCGATGCGTGCAAAGCCTGCAGCATAGCTAGTACTCAAGGGTGGCTGGTGATGAGCTTTCCTAGTTCTGTTGGGGTTATGCCTAGCCTTCAGGGCATATTGGCCATCGGGACATCCCTGTGCCAGCCAAACTATGTTCCAATCATAATGTACTCTCCATCGGCCGCCATTCCAACTGACACCATGTTGCAACAT